GTAACTTAACTCCTTTGAAATAAACAATATTATTATCCCTATGCTATCTTTGGTGTTTTGTATTCTTTTATCAGTTTTGTCATAACCTGTCCAAGCAAGTGTCACAATTGATGTCCACCACGAATTCGTCATCATTAACTTGGTTTTTTCTTGGTTGGCTGGCCATTTAGTTGTCAAGCTCAGTTGTTTCTTTCTTGTCTTTCTTTTTATGAGTCATGTTCCCAGGCCTAGCCTGGGGTAGGGGGGGGTGGTCGTGTTATGTGCATGACTCTGAGAGCACTTTTAAAATCCTTATTTTGACACCTGAGACAGGGGTGTCAGAATAAGCCAATGTGACGTCATAATTCTCTAACTTAGTGAATAATGGACTATTGGGAAGAGACTGTAAAATGGACAAGGCCCTCACAAAAGGAAGAGACTTTAACTGGCTGGTATTTTTCAGATGAAAGCCATTGGTAGAGATAAGTAAACAAGGAATAGCTAACCTTAAAAGGGTATATAATCCTTGTGAAGCTAGGAGAAGCGGAAGGTGAACCTGAAGACAGGTTCGTAGGCAGGTTGTATAAATGGGCGAGGAATATTAGCAGATAGAGGTAGTGTTCAGAGGTTAACATATAGTTTACTTAAAACTAACATAAAGTGGTTTTGGATCAGAGTAAAAGAGCTTACTCTGTATCTTTTCCCGAATTACAGTGACAGTATCCTGAGCACAGAACAATAAATATTTATCATACATACATAGCCTCCTCTTATGTTCTTTTTAGGAGGCGGATTTACTTTAAATTCAACCCAGGAACTGATGAACACTGTTCGCATAAACGCACTGTCTACATATTATGTTTTACTATCAGAGGCATCATGGAAGGGTATGCAAGTTTGCGTAGTACCAATTCCCCACCCTCAGATACAGTATTGGATACTTCGAGTGTCGGAGACAGAACCGGTGAGGATATCACCAACGAATATGTATTGGATGACCAAACTAATTATACAGCTTCGCTAGATTCGACAGGAGTACGGAAGCGGAGCAAGCCAAAACCAATAAACAGCGAGTCACAGGCCGGTCTAATAAGTGATGACAACAGCGATGAGGAAGATACCTTGATGGACTATGATGTGTTACAAGAGTATAGAAAACGAAGTAGAAAAAAGTACTACTATTGTAAAGTATTTACTGCGTGTTTGCTCACAGTGTGTGCGGCTTTGGCAGTGTATTACCTCTGCTTAGTGATAAGTAAGTTCACAGTCGTGGAACAGTCCGAGCCCAACGTGAATGTGATGCTTGGTCGGCCGTATACACAGCAGGAGTTGGATGAACTCAGGGGGAAAGTGTGTACTAACTGTGCAGGTATAGGCGCCACAGTGGGTATGCCCGTACCCGAGACAACACCGTACAAACCTTACGGATACGAAACGAAGATAGACTATAGTGTGAACTGTTATGTAGTGTACCCAGATGAAGAGGGAGATGGATCGGAATATTCGTTAACTGAAATGACCGAGGTTGAAGCCTTGTCGGCGAATAGTACAGTTCATGGGTTGGGTACAGTGTTCCTGACACATACAGGTCCGTGTGGCGTGTGCTCGAGTCTAGATGATTTGTACGTATATTTGTCTACGCCTGATTTGACTAACCCCGTGCGTGCGTGCGGGCTCAAGTTGGATCCCCAGAAACAGGTAGAGTGCATTGAGAACATAGGGTTCAGTGAGGCCTGTTCATGGATATGGGTGCACAACACGCGCAACACCAAACAATCGGATGCAGAAGGGGGCTGTTTTGGCACGTGTATAATTCACATCACATCGGATAACAACGACGCGAGCGCCGATGGTAGTCTCATCGCCAAGGTGAAAAACCTGTTCATCGAGGCTAATCCTTGCGATCCAGACACGTGCTTAAACACTATAAACGGAAATCCAGCATGCAGTCCTGAGCAATGGCAGGATGGCGAGTACCGTCTCAATGCATGTATAGCTTGCGATGAGTGTCGGTCAGGCCCTATCTTTCAGAAAGTGAGTGGACGCACCAGAAGGAATTCAGGTATCAGCTCAGCGATTACCAGACCCCCAGGATACATATCGGAGGTATACCATCTGTATGGGAATCGCAGGGATTGATACGTTGGCACAGAAAACTAGAAAATTATACCACGACAACGGGTCTGCATAGCCTATTCAGTCTGACGAGTAGTGCAGGAGTCGTACACGATTCGAATTGTCTTGTATCAAGACGAATAACATCTGTAAGGAAATTTATGTAATACTATAGAAAAATTTTCACATACATACGTACACGTACACGTACACGTACATGTGCACGTACATGTGCACACTGAACACCCGTGCCGAAATATATAATCGAACTTGATGTATGTGTACACACGCATCTGCATTCAGAACATGGGTCAGGCCTAGAATTTATAATTAAATAGATATATGCATGTGATCACACATGCACAGAAATACACACATGCGCAATACCACTCGCACCTTCGCGCGTTTCATATATACACCTGTGTGGCCTAATTTGTATGTGCAAACATGGCAATTACACATACTCAACTCTATGACCTAATTAAACTAACACATAAAATATTTAGGACATCACTGCATAAGTTTGACGAGAGCTTTAGGAACGATATTTCACATACACGCGTTGATACATCTGATACACCGAACTTGAAGGAAGATTAACTTCTATGATATCTCATAAAACACAAAAACATTTATAACTAATAAAAAAACAAACAAACAAGAAATTGTGTCGAGCAGTTTGCGAGACGTAAATATCTGATAAACTATTCATGTATGCGGGCTCCGGGGTAAGACTGAAATGTGCATGTCACCTGGGTTCAGGTTGCATTTCAGTGCGTTTATGTTCTAACGAGCCTGTGTCATATTTACGCGAGCGATAATACTTTTAGTGTGTCGATCAAATAGCTAATACAAATCTCTGGAGCGTCTGCGATTAATTAAGCAATCGTGATTTTTGGCTTTGCACTGTGTACTGCATATCCAATCCAGGCTTATATGTGGATCTATGCGCTGTAAATTGTAGCGCTTACTCATAGAAGTATAATATATATATATATATATATATATATATACACACACACACACACACACACACACACAC